GGTCACTCACGTTGAGCTTCCTGTCCACCAGGACCCCCAGGTCCCTTTCCACGGAGCTGCTCTCCAGCCAGGTGGATCCCAGCCTGTGCTGCACTCGTGGATTATGTTTTCCCAGGTGCAAGACCTTACGCTTGTCTTTCTTGAACTTCATAAGGTTCTTGTTAGCCCCCTCTTCCAGCCTATCCAGATCTTCCTGCAGGGTGGTTCTCCCTTCCGAAGTGTCCACTTCCCCACTCAGTTTGGTAACATCGGCAAACTTCATCAGGCTGCACTTGATCGCGTTATCCAGATCACTTATGAAGATACTGAATAGCGTTGGGCCCCGTATCGATCCCTGGGGGACCCCACTTGTGACAGGTTGCCAGCTTGAAAAAGAGCTGTTTACCACCACCCTTTGGGTGCAGCAAATCTTGACAATGAGAGTTCAGTCTTGTATCTATAGAACAAGTATAGCACAATGTACAGTGTAAGTAAGTTTTCTGACATGCTTCTATGAGCATGGCCTGGAGATACTACCTTAAGTAGTACAAGAGTTTACCATTTTACATGACGCTGCTAAAATAGGAACTTTTTGCCGTTGGGTTTGCAGTATCAGTACCTGGGTGAAAATAACGTGTTAGAGCTAAATGACTAATGTTGAATAGGCAATTGTGGTAATGACCACTGATAGTTAATTATTGGTCACTAAAGATATTTTATTATTAAAACATTATGAGCCTGGAATGAATCTGCGCTGATATTTTAGGCATTAAATCCTCCATAGCTTGTTAAAAATCACTTGTCTAATATTTCCTCTGGAGGACTTGTAGCTTTGTATGTATTCCGTGTGCTTGCGTGCTCTTTTAATGCATTTTAGAATCTTTAATGAGTCCCCTTAACACTACATATGAGAACGTACTACAGATGAAAAGCCAAAAAAACGTCAGCTTGCTCAGTAGTGCTGGAAGCAGTGTCTCTTAAATGAATACTCAAGTCACATTAGTATTCAAAAGATAGATGTTCAAAATTCTTCTGCCATTATTTTAAGTTACTGGACATGGGAGTGATCCTACAGTAAAGGGTATCGGCTTACTTAGCTGGATACTTCAACCACTCTAGGAATTTCCAGAGGAATAATTCCTAATTAAAGAGGACAGCAGAGTTTTAGATGTACTTTTTAGATCTGCTTTTGCAAATATGTAAGCATTTGGTTCTTCCCAAACGTCATGTGTTTAGAATTAAGCACATGCTAAATACATTCCTGAACTGGGGTTTTAGAGGGAAAAACAGCTACTTCAAAAGAATCCTTTTTACCACTGCGTACAAATGTATGGATGCAGGTTCAGCTTTTCTCATGTCAAAATGTCCGCTTAGTAACAGTTAACAAATAAAGGTAAATATTCGGGCTCTGCACGTGTTTTGTTCGGTGGCTCGAGTGAGTTTCCCTAAGTTCAGAAGTGATCTGCAAAGTTAATTTAAAAAAAAAAAAAAAAAAGATTAATCTCAGCAGGATACGCTTGGTTCCATCTTCATGACGTTTCCAAATACATTTGGACAAACTATGGCACAGCTGTTGAGGAGGGAAGGAAAAAACCCAGTACAATAGACAATCTCTTTACATTTTTCAATGCAGCAATCATCATCTTATTAATGTACTGTTTGGCAAAAACTAATAGACTGCAGTTCTCAATCGCTGTATATTCCTTACTGGTACAATTTATAGTAGATGTTTTGCTTTGCAAGTGATGCTCTTTCTTGATCCAGTTTTATCTTTCTATTTCTTTTTTTAGGCCAGGCAGCTGGAAGAGAAAGACAGAGAACTGAAGAAGCATGATGCCTACTACAAAGAGCAGCTGGCTCGACTGGAAGAAAGGGTAAGCCGCCTTTCCCTTTTAATGAAGAGTTCTCTGTTCATTTCTGCTACTGACTTTCTGGTTATGTTTTACCGTTAAACAAGATGACTTTTCTAAGGAGATAAAGATTAAAACTGTGGCCAGAGGGGTTTCTTTGGTATTAACTGCTACTGTTTCTGGCTTAATATTGACAAGATGGAGGCTTTAATGTTGAGAATATTGTTTTCTTTGCTAAGTTCTCACATTTGCAATGAGATTTTATCTGTCGCAGTAATTACATACAGAGAAATAATCCGAACGAGGTTACTTTTATACCATCCCTGATGAAGAGCCAGTGTAAGTGAATGAGTATCACCAAGTAGTCTTAAAATTGCATGTGAAGTGTGAAGATACCTACTGAATTTCTGCTTCCGTTGCAGTCCACGGTTGCTTTCATTGCGTGGAGTTCGTGGTTCCTCCAAAAGCCACCAGTACGTGGAGAGTTTAATGTTAATTGCAGGTGTTTATGCCATGTTTAAAAAGTACTTCTGTGGTTTTTTTTCACAGTAGACTTGAAACTAAACTGTACGGAACAGTTTACTAAGCTGTGTGACCTGCTTACAATGTTTTAACATCTTGCTGTTAACATTCTTATTCTTTACAGGGTATTATTTTATAGGATGCTAATTTCAAATAATTACTGCTGTCATCATTTTCTAGATCCCAGGTTGGTTGTAACCTTCAGCCTGAATACATTTGCCGCCTTTATCCCTCTGCCTTCTTCCTGAGCCTGCCTGTTGTTGATTAATTTGGGTTTTTTTTAGTTAGTTTTGAAAACGCTATTAACAAGATATATATTCATTTATGCAGCTTAGCAGGATAGAAGAAAACCCCTTGTTTTTATTGATTAGGAAGAAGAGCACGTTGTAGGAGTTATCAGCGTGTATAATTGGTCTTAATATTTTAAATAGAGGGCATATCAGATAGTGTCTCAGTGCTTTGTCCTACCTTTTTGAAGAGTACATTAATGAAGTCCATGTTCTTGGCAACGAAAAATAGTTTGAAAGGATGAAGGTAAATTAGTTTAATGATTCTAAAATGGTGCATTATTTAAACAGTTAAAAATTAAGATCCTTCACAGAAACCCCCCCCACAGATTACCTTCCTTATTCTCAAATAACCGGCGGGTGTTAGAGGAAAAAGCCTCTGCAGTATCTCATCCAAACTGGCTTCTTATGGGGTGGTTGTACCTCTGCTCTTAGTTATCAGCCTTCCATTTTATGGTTACAGTGCAAGCAGTACTGGAGTAATTCATGGCAAAGAATGAGTGATAAACCGTGATTCTTAGTCTGAAAGCTTTTCTTTTACCTTTTTAAGGAGCCATGCAGCAAATTAGATTTTATTCTTAGTTATTTTTAATATTGAAGCAGGTCACTGATACAGTGCCTTCCCTTGCACCTGTGAAGATTTCCAATGTGGAATGGCATGTTAATGCACATGTGTCTATATCCTTGTTGTGTGCAAGTGGGATAACGAACTTTAAATAACTGTATTTGAGTGCTACTGAAGCGTCGTCCCCAAGTGGTGTGAAATGGGTGAACTCTGCCATCTCTTGCTTCCTCTTCTGGGACTTGGAAGTCTCCAGGACTACAACAGGCGGTTCTGAATTGACTGCCTCATGCCAGGGATGATGTTTGCTCGGTCTTCAGAGTGGAGCTCTCGTGATATTAAGGCTTGTCTTTTCATTCTGACTAGGAAACCTTTGCTGTGCCAGGTTGTCACCGGGTTTGTTTTCAAAGTACACGTGCATCTCTCTTCTACGCAAAAAAAGAGTTGTTAGCTTGAACAGCTCTGAAAGGAGGTGAACTCTGTGCTCCAAACCTGACTTTGAACTTTTTCAGAGATGTGGAGATTACAGAATGAAAACCTGCAAAAGCAGAGAGGTCACGTCTCCTGCAATCCCAGCTTCACTGAGGCTGGTGCCTGCAGCCGTTATTAAGGTCATTTGAGAGTTTCAGAATTGGTGATTTTTGAGCATTGGGATGGAAATAGAGGTTTAAGAAAAAAGGAAGGACTGGCAAGGCCTAACATTCTGGAAATTACAGAGCACAATAACAGGCTGCTTATTTGTTCCTAAACTTGTCCTGATTTCAGTGAAAGGTACACAAAGTCCGAGTTTGGGTTGTTCAGCGGAGAAAAGATCGGAACGGGAGGTGAGGTGGGAGCGGAGCAAGCGGAGCTCAGACAAGTAATGTCAGTATGAAGAAATGTGCAATATGAGTCTGTCACCTGTGACAAAGAATGCTAATTACATCCTCAGATCATTCTTACATCAAATAAGCACACTTTTAAAATACTTCAGTTATGCGTATGTGGTATTTCTGTCTGTTGCATCATTGAGTGTCAGAGCTCATCTGTATGATTAATTGGCTTTTTGATTACTTAGCTTTTTCAATTAGAAGCTTCGTATTTGTGTTCTTCAATGCTGCTGGAAAAACAATGCAGACGTTGATAATAAAGGGAGATGACAACAGAACAGATTAGTGTCAGCACGGTGTGCTCCTTATGGAGAAAATTATTATACATATTCAGTGCCAGATGAAGTCTGTCAATTATAAAATATTTTGGTGACTGAGTGAAGATGCTCAACCTTTTCAGGGGATTAATACAGGACAAAATAACTGTGCACCAGTGACAGCTGTGATAATAAAACATAAACAATTCTATTCTCCAGGGCAATATCTGTTCATAAATTTGGTTTATGTGCTAAAAACCTTTTGATACTTTCCAAAAACCCAGCGATTCCCATAACAGCTGCCAGTGTTTCTAGGTCAAAGATAGCACATAAGCTATGAGTTATTACATGCTCCACAGCAGCAAAGCAAAATGAGATAGTTTAACAAAGGAGTTAAAGAATAACCTTCTCATACTGTATATCTGACTAGGATGTAAAGCTGTTATTTAGGAGTTCGCACATTAAGCTTTGAGAAAAATTTGTCAGTGTTTTCCATTGCCTGCTTACAGGCTAATGGTGCTTCTTGACTACAGCAAAAAACCCCAGAGACAGCAGTATTCAAATCATTGACATGGGGGTACCCTACCTTGTCTTATTTACTATAATAAGGTGGTCTTAGTGATATTTTAAACCATGTGATTTTTCTTTCAAAATAGCAGAGCAAGAAAAAGGAAAACTACCATCTCGGGCAGATTGAGCAGCTTGCTACCTGGAAGAGCAATCCTATGGCCTCTTTCTCTGACGTTGTCTCATGTGTGCATCCACACACACAATCACACACTTCTGTCCTGCTGTATCCATCATTGCTCTGTTCAGCTCCTCCAAGTCCATCATCCTTCCATTGTGCCACTGGTTTCAACGCCAATTCCAAGCCTCAGTGGCTGCAGACTTCATAACCATCTCTGCATCTCTAATGTCGCTGTGCTGTGTAGGTTCCAGTCAACATCAACAGTTGCATTCGCTTTATCTGACACCTTGTCGTTCCTTCACCCAGTTGCTTTTGCCTTGGACTATTTTTGCTCCCTCATCCGCCTGTAGTTTTGGCGTCACGCAGACATTCATGATGAGATATATCTCTGCGTGCTTCTGTTGCTTCAAGAATGAGGCAACTCTCCCTAGTTGAAATTTTCTTCAGCAAATCGAACTGTTTTCATGTTACACTGCTTCATAATACTATTACGCATCATTACGAGAATCATGTCCCTAGTCATAGGAGCAGAAGGAAATTAATTTTAATACTGTACTGTATGACACAACTACTTAGTTTATCAGTGTGAATGAGCAAGATATGTATCCCCGTATTAATCAGGATATTTCTCACTTGAGCTAAGTTTCTATGCTTCTGAGTTTCCTAGAAATACTTTCAGTAATATTGAGTAATATGCATATGAATACGTGTACTGTGTAAGGTAATAAAATTATTCCGTTAGCATTTGGAGGTTTCAGTATTAAGTTAGATACGCTACAGATTTAGCAGTCAACAAGTTACTGCCCTGATAGTTCTTCCTTTCCGATTCTATAATTTCCGTCCATGTCCTTGCTGACTTTAGTGGCCTTTGTGCAGGGATACTCCTGCACCGTACGGGGCTTACTGCCAGATCAGCGCCTGAGAATATAGACATAAGTTCTGGAAATGTGATCCTCTTATCTGCACCCATTTTTTTTCATGACTTAAATTTTGAGGAAGGATTTGCAAATCATAGGTTCGGCAGTTAATTTGGGGATTCTACTTACCATGTAGGCTGTCAAGGAGCATTAACCTTAAGGTAAGATGAGCACACAGAGCATAAAGCTGTGAGCTGATGGCACATACTATACCAGGTGTTAAATAGTATTATCCATCCCGCTTGCTACGGTAAATAGGATTTTGCTATTATGATGTGTCAGGATTTTCAGAGAAATCAAATTTACTAGACACTAAACTGCCATCCTCACTGCTGAGCAGCTTTATTCTGGGATCTTGCTTTCATACTAATCCTGTTGGTAAGAAATGCTTATACCAATTGTGTGGGGAAATTATAATTTAATGATCTCTTCCTTTTTTCTATTCAAGGCTTAGAATGGACCAACATGCTTTGCAGCGATAGCCCCAGTGCTCAGAAAAGGAGATGATATACAGTTCAGCTTCACAGCCGAGTATTGGCTTTTTGTAGGTGTTTGTAATGAACATAAGTGCTAAGATGCAAACAATGCGAGTTCTACATTTGTTCAGATGCTTCAGAGTCTTGTTTACCTTTTCAAATCTCAACAACTAAATAACCAGAATCTGTTTGCTATGTTTTTTGTAAACTGTAGTTTGCAAGATGTAGATAACAGAGGGGGACTATTATAAAGCAGTATAATAACTACAAACATTTTTATTCCCTGCAACGTATTTTAGCAGTTTAAACATTTTTGTTTCTGTTTATTTCATCAGTCTGTTTACTTTCTTCGATCTTGCATGACTGTATCAGCAAGAATTTCATAACCAGAGGATGATTCTGCTCTCACCTCTTGTGTTTAGAAGTTTGTATTCGCTAGAGCAAAC